ACGCAGAACTGATGAGGAAACACAAGCATGTGCCCAGTCATTATGGCTAGTCTAGCAAAACAAAACTAAGTCAAATAAATCTTGCTTTTTGTCTGTTGCTAATTTCATGGAATAGCCACGTGCCTTGGTGATTCTTTTGTGAAGGTCTGTGTTCTGTTCCATTTTCTGTCCCAAATGACATTTGGGAAAGTTAAACTTAGTTTGGATTAAATTGTCATTTTCATTATCTTACATCAGCTGTAAGTTAGCTGTAGGTAGTAAGCAGTGGTTTTTTAACCCATCTTTTTCAATAGAATATTTTTTTTTTGAGGGAGAGGCAAGTGGGGGAGGAATAAACCAAATATGCTTCTACCCTTGTACTGCTGCCATTTGAACAGGTTCCTTCGTTCTTTAGCTTAGTTCCATATAGCATTATCTCTTTTAAAGATATATTTCATTCCTGTGAGCTGCCAGATGTGCTGGTGATGCGTTCTTAGATCTCAGATAGGTTGACATTGATTTTCCTAGCACACACCAATGTAGAAATCAGGTCTGTAATTCATCCAAATGGTCTATTCATAACAAAAAGTGCCTTCTGGCAGTTGCACTGCAGCTGAATACTATTAAACTGAATTCATCATTTGTTTCTGATTGCTCTATATGTTTACATATCTTACATATTAGTACGATCTTTTATAGAGCACACACTGAGGTTAAGTCCTCCCAGACAGAACCTCTTCCTCCTTATTTGCCCTTTCAGATGTTGAACTTCTCTTTTTCCATTAAAACGAATGGAAACTTTGAAACTTCTTAATGCTTTCCTGTACCGAAACGAAGGGTAAGATATAGCAGTGCACGTGGTCAGTGGGCATGGGGATGAGGGGTTGGCAATTGCACTTGATGATCTTAATGGTCTTTTCCAACCTTTACAATCCTGTATTGGGGAGATGTGAAAGGTGATGTTTTCCTGCACAAAAAAATTCTTCCCCATCCAATGCCAGATGAACTGTGAGGTACAGTTATGAAGTATAATAATTCCGTAAGTAAACACCATCATAGATGGGGCAATAGTCTGTGGGAATAAGATCAAATGCTTCTCATCTCCTGTCTTCAATTGCCTGCTGCAGTAATTGTTGTGCAGAGAGCATTCTGACACCCAGCAGCGGGCAAGTAACTTGACCCTCTCTGTGTTTCAGTTTCTCTATATGTAAAAAATAATAAACAGTAACATGTCTCACAATAGGAGCGTGTTGCAGGGTGGATTTAAGTTAAATAGAAGGAAGAAAATATGAAGCTTCTTTTGAACATGTATTTTAACTTTCAAAGAAGGATGTCATCTCTTATTTGCTTTAAAAATAAAAATCAATTGCCCAGAGATCTAAAACAGATGTTGTTTTCTACTAAAAAGATTAAGGATTCTTTTAAGCTCATTAAAGGAATAAAGTGACACCACATTGATCCATCTGTATCATCATAAGTGTGTCTGAAGGCAATAGAAAACTCCAAAAAGGTCCCTTCCAGCCCCTGTGATTCTGTGACATGGTATTAGTGGCACAAAAATAACTGAGTCTGGCACCCTGTGCTTGTCTTCTGAGTTCTGTGGCACACTTTTTCTCCAACCTTATGCTTATGTGCACTCATCTTTTAGTGGGATTGAGTGGTATGTATACTCAGGCAGAATTTAGAATTTACAATGAAAATACAAACACCAGCTGCTGCATGGCTTGAAAAATTCAAGCGTCCGAGTTACATCAAGGAGGGGAAATGGAAGCTGTTTGCCGTCTTTTATACATGTATCTGCAGAGCAGTGTTCACCGTTTCTTCTCGAAGAGCATGTGCCTGATTTTGGGAGCTCATTACTGCACTTCTTATCAATAGCCAGGCACATCTGACCCAGAATTAACCTACCTGCTGGATGGCTGCAAAATGTGGATTGAATTGTTTAAGTGAAGGTAGAAAAAAAAAATTAAAAAAAACACCAATCAAATTAAGCAATGCCACATACAGTGTTAATAAATCCCAGCATGCTAGCCAGTGTTCTTTACTTTGGAGAATTACTGCAACTGAAAAATAATGATAACCTGGTATCCCACCTGTTACATCCATCCATCCATCAGTGTGGAGCTCCCTTGTTTGCTCTGTATGGGTGTTGAAAATTTGCTGGAATATATACAAACTGCTTCAGTAATAAAATGATAGGAAAGTCTCAGTGCAATTTGTGAAAAGCCAGCATGGCAATAGACTGTCCTGGCAAATGCCTGTGGGTGTCCAAAATGCCACACCAGAATGAGCTCCAGGGACACTTTGGTCCTTTAATCAGTCTAAACCCTTTAGTTTTATCAGACATGCAGGACGACTTGATAAATGGTGGAGTAAGGACAGAAGAAAGATAGATGTATCTATATATCTATATAATGTATTTAAACTGTTGTCCTTCTCTATGTTTGTAACTTCCCATGTATTCATAAAGCACCTTTGTGCCTCAAACATCCTTAGAGTATTTGGTCTCTTCCCACTGTGCAACAGTGTGTTTAGAGGAGGCTTTGAACAAGCAGACCCTTCTGCCCTGAAGGTCCCTTCCCACCTATAGTAAGGTGTGCTGTGCCAATGCCTTGGGTTGGAAGGGACCCCAAAGATCATTGTGTTCCAACCCCCTGCCACGTAAATGAGACAGGATGCTGGGGTTCTCAGTGTGCTCCCATCATCAGTTTGGAGCAGATAACATTTGGCAATTTTGATCTGGTGCTGTCTGTGTTCTCAGTAAAGTTGGCAATGTGGCATTGGTTTAAAGATCAGTTTATTTTAGGTTTCTAAGTTTTAGAAACATTTAGCCAATACTTTTTTGTTGCACTTCTTTTTGTTAGTGAAATTGTAAGAGAAGGCTTGCCCCACAGAGGTGTTGAAAACCCAAGGCTGCATTAATTTGTAGTTTTAAGAGAAAACAAAACAAAACCAAATGTCTTTGCAATGTTTTTGACGTAGCTTTGTCCACTTGGAGTCATAAATGCCTTTTTAAATTCAGTGCAGCTATTCTTGCTCTTTAATGGGTTTGGTCAGCCAAAACGTTACGCAGACACACAGACACATGTGCAGGCATACCTCTTCAGTGAAAGTAAGTCAGTGTCCTATGGCTGATAGGGGGGATTGAGCAGAATTCTCTTCTTATTTAGATGCGTTCCAAAGAGAAATGAGGATAGCTTGAAACTGTCATGATGTATTTGGAGCAACCAGTCTTTGCTGCTTTGTTTTTCTACTTTATTTCATGACGAGAATCAGCTGTAATGTCAGACGATGGCTAAAGCAGACTATTGTTTGTGCAGAACCCTCCCTGCTGCTGGTATATTTACTAAACATGTGTGATACACAAATGCCAGTAAACTGCATCATCCAGCATATTCCCCAGTTGCCAGCAAAAACTGTCTTTAAAGTTTGGCCTGTTTAAATATACAGAGAATGTGCATTGAGTGGAACAGAAAAAGAGCTGAATTTTTGTTTACTGTTCCTTGAAGCTATTTGGATGTGAAATCCTGGTGTTATTGAAATCAACAGCAATCCACAAGCATCCTTCAATGGGTGCAGAGTTTTTCTAATACAGAACAAGCTCTAAATACAAAAAAGCATTGTCCCATTGACTGAGACCTTTCTTAATTTTTGTTTCTGTGTTGCAAACATGCAGACTCAACATTGTTAGGGAATTCTTGTTTCCTTTTCTTGGGGCATTTCCTACCTTCTAGAGAACAGCAGCTGCAGATTTACTTCATTAACACAGCTTAGTGGGCAGTGCATTCATGCACCATCTGATGGCGTAGAACTGCACTGCCATCTTATTTTCCCATTGAATTTATGGCTGCACGTACCTTGAACGTCTCAACCTGTTGGTTCTGGAAGAGGTGATGTGAATCATTCTCCAAATGAGAGGACAGGTCATCTACCTATGGCAATGGATGAGCTGTCTTCTCCAGTCCCTGCTGCAGGAGTAAGTCATGTTCAAACAGTGCAGAATGCTCAGCTAGCTGCTATGGCAATTTACTGCTGATTTGTAGCATGTACGACATTCTGTGCCTTGCTTGCTAGCTTGTCATACCTCCTTACCTTTCTTTCTGCACTCAAAAGAAAGTATAGAAAGTTTATCTAGTCTATTGACAGCTTTAGTAAGAGGAAGGAAAGTGCCCTCCACCCTTATAAACTGGTAATTGGCATCTTTTGAAGCAGAGAAAGGAAATGAAAGTCTGTCCCACATCCTGACTGATCTATCCACTGAAGTGCTGTGCAGGGACAGGACATCACTGTAGATATGGATGATCTATCAGTTCATGAAAGAGAGTGATGCCTTGATGTAAGGATTCACAGAGGGAAGAAAAGTTTTCTGTAATTAAGTTAATTAAGCCTAAATAAAATAGGGAACCTGAAGCTGACCCAGGCACGTGTTTCCTGTTGACTTGGGACAAGCAACTCCCTGCCATCCAGGCCAGGTTTGCAGTTTCCACACAAGGAATCTGACTGGGAACGGTCAGCTGGGTTTCCCTTTGATTCTCAGCTATAAAAACACACAGGATGAGTGCTCTGTAAGCACTGCTGCCTGGCCAGGTTAGCTGTGTTTTCTGTTGATAATCAAGCACAGAATGTTTTGTCCAAATGCTCATTTTAACTAGAGTGTTTTTCTGAAGGAGCAAAGCACTTTCCTTCTCCGTATGAAATACAGTTCTTATTCCTGAAAGTTCATTCTTTGGTGTGGCCAGGCCTGTGGCCAGGCCCAGCTGCTGTGTAAATGGGTGTGAGTGGGAGAAATAGGAGTTAGGCAGTCAGTAGCTGCAGCTGTATCATGTCATCTGAAAATGATGCAAATGGGGAACATATTTCTCCACATTCTCCTTAGAGTAAATCTCCACCTACACATTTTTGCTGATGATGGTAACTTCAGTGGAGGAGCACAAATCAGTATTGGATTGTGACAGCTGCCAAACATTAGCTGAGAAGCACCTACTTCAACAGGTCACTGAGGCTATTTCTTACTTTTCCAGATCAGTGAAACACCCATTTTTGTTCCTGGTGTTTGGGGACCTTATTTCTCTGCCATGGTACCTGGATTGTGGCTGAATGAAGGAGGTCAAAGTGCTACAGGAAAGCTGGTAAGTGTACAGAAGCACAGAGCTTAAGATGAGAGCTGACTGCAATCATCTGAGGTAGCTTCACTGCCAATTCAGCCAGAGCTGTGCCTAAAGCATCCTTGTAAGATCAGAGCAGAAAGCAGTAAACAATTAGTTGGTTGTTATGCCTTTACAGCCTGTTCATTTCCATTCTGTTAGGGGATTATATGTGGGGCGGAGCTATAAGGGCATGCAGTCCTTTCTTGATAATTGCAGTGATGATTTTTATAATTCTACAGGCAAGTAAGCTTTCATACTTTGTAGTAGCAAGAGGGTGAGATAGGCTTTGAGATGAGGAAATGTACACATGAGGTCAAGAAGACCTCAGTGAGTGCTTCTGTGTTTCTCCATGTGTCTCTCTGCTCAATCAATATGATCTGCCTTTAGTGGCAAGTTGCCAAATTCCTACTGAGGAACCACAGGAAACAGGGCCTGGTCCTGCAAGGACAAGCTCTAAGCTCCAAACATACAGGTGGGTTTGGCTTTCTGCAAATTGCAGCCGTAATTGCTGTCTTACTCAGACTTAGCACCACCCATGTTTTTAAAATCCTCGTGATCGATGCACGTGTCCTGGAAGTAGCAGAGTTGGGCATCACCACATTTATGCATTCCATATGAAACAATCACGGTACAAGGAACAGAAATAATCCGGGATCAGGAAGCCCAGATAGACCTTGAATGGTGAGCTGTGACTTGATGTTCCCTCATGCGTGCAGTCCTTGGCCTCGTGAACCTTTGGTTCCTGTCTGTACAGTGTCACACCTTCAGTGGGACACTCAGCACTCTTCCCCAACTGCACCTCCAGTTCCCATCCCAGGCCTGCACTGAGCCTCGTGCATAAATCACTCTTGCAGCAGGTGGGATGTGTGTTACATTTTTCAGGTCGAGACAAGGCTGGAACCAAAGCATCCCATTTTACAGTTAACAGCTACAGCCAGAAGTAAGATTTAATTATCACTCACAACAACACCACTTCAAAGGGAAAATGGTAAATCTTGTGCATACTTCATAAAAACAGTTTTGAGAGAAGTCTCTGTGTGCTTAACGCAAAGTGGGTGGAGACATTTAACCGAGCCCAGGAGAGGATACAGCAAATCAAAGGTTTTTTGTTGGCTGCCTCATGGGGGTTTATCTGGAAGATGATTTGAAAGATCCTTTTCAGTCACTGCTGGATTCCATTCCGGTACCAGAGGACAAGGTGTTCCTCAGTCATTTAAGAAAATGCTGCAAAACCTATGTGCTTGTTAGGGACACTTAGCAAAGGTCAACTGAGAGTAAATAAAGGTATATTACAAAAGCTATCTTATTAGAACATTCTTAGAATATTTAGTGCCATTTTGTTGAGGTTGCACATACAGGAAGACATGGTTTATGTGTAAAGTGGTGTGGAAGATAGATTGCATTCACTATCATTATGGTTTTAAAGCTGTAGTCACTGTATTCAGGACATTTAAATATCTAACTTCATTCTAACAGTGACACTTCTGTTTAAAGCTTTTTCATAACACGTGTATATATGATATTTATCTATAGATGTATTTCTGGATTTGTGAGTTGTTCCTATGTTCTAGGTGACTATTTAATATTGCAATTAGGTCAGAGCTTTGTTCTAATGCATGTTTGAGTTTTGTGTTTGATGTAAATCTCAGAAAGAACAGGCGTGTGTTATTTTTATTCCTGTGTTCTGATGTATATGCTTCATTATAAAGGTTTCTCTACACTGATTACGGTCTAGACACAGACTGTGAAAAATACAATACATAATGTGTTTTACAGCCAATATATACTGCCAAATGCAGTCTGTGCTCTTGAGTAGCTCTAGTTTTGCCTCCTTACTTTTTACTGTCACTTCAAGAGGCCGCAAACACTGATTCTACTTGATACTTCATTATGTGAGTAATGGTAGTTGCTGTGATGTGAAAGGGCTGGATGATTTATAAATACAGCACGAACAGAACCTGTATTCAGCTTTTTTTTTTTCTTTAAGCAATAATTGCTTGTCAGAGGAAACATTTTGTTTCCTGCAATGAACATATGGAGCGTTTATCCAGATGACAACACACCTTGTGTTTTATTGTAATGGTATGATATAGAATGACGTAGGGATTCGAGCCAAGAAGATGCTCCTGGTAGAGTTCCAATGAAAGCATGCGTGCAATTGAGTGAGAAAGATTAGAGGTTGTACTCTCAAGTATTGCTGGGCGGGAAAAACTTCCATCCTTTTGGTGTTACTCTTCTGACTGAGGCACTGCATGCTCAGCATATTGCCTTGCTTGGTGCGTTGCTTTTTGTTACCATTTTAAAGCAAAATCTTGAATCCTGGAATGTCAGTGGGAGTTTGGCCATTGGCTTCACTTGGGTTGGGACTTTACACCTCATGAGTAACATAGAAGCTCCCTTGTCTTTTTAAAGTTAGGAAACTGCATTGCTCCTTTCCAGGACTGAATTTTAAAGATACAATCATTCAAAAAAATGTTGCTTTCCTCTTTTTCAGATAGAGCATGTGGTCCAAGGCCATGTTGCCTTCCCGGAATTACAATCCAAAGCTGCAGCCAGGTCACTGTTCTTATTTCTTCATCACATGCCTGCCTTATCAACTGACATACTGTATCCCCAGCACTGAGATATCGCTCTGCTGTATACATATTCTGGAACATGGGAATCAACAAAGCAACAGTGGATTGGAAGTATTTACAAAGGCTTTTCAGGTGGTTGTTCAGAGAGGAAAGCTTTAATCTCCTCTCAGATATTTTGAGGGTAGCTAGATGGTGATACCAGCTTCACCAGCTTCCTGCTTTTCAGCCTCTCTTTTACCCAACCCAGCGTATTGGTACCATAGCATCAGCCCTGTTCAGCTAAGCTGTGTGCCTTAGGCTGACGATGTCTTAGTTTGTAGGTGATCTATTGAGCTCCAGGGGTGAAATAGAGCTAAATTAGGAATATATTATGCAATATTTTTGGAACAAACATCTAAAGGAAGTTATAACCACTGTATGGAACTCCTATGTGACAGCACAAATAGAACATAGAAAGCCAGGATACATTTTCAGACAAAACTTAAGACGTGGAAGTGTATTGCTGGTAATTCCAGGATTCCTTGAGTATGCAGATATGAGAGATGTCGAATTTTAGTTTGATCTGCTTTGGAAGTGGATGAGGACCACTTCCATCAGATCTGAATTTTCTGAGACCAACTTAGCTGAGCAGTAAAGTACATTGGATGAAAAATTAGTTATCCTAATTATTTTTTCTCCTCCTTGGATTAAAGACAGAAACAGTGAATCTGTCCTTTAATCTCCAGTTCATCACTCTGGAGATTGTGATAAGGGACAATCTCCAAGGGCCAGTCCTGAGAGATGTATTAGAATTCATGCAGTTACAGTTAGTCCTTCCTGGGGGGATAAAGCTACCTGGTTTCTCTGGATGACCCTTTCATAGCTTTTAATGTTAAATGGCTTAATTATTTGCTGAGACCTTGACCAGAATTCCCAGAAACCTATTGGACTTCTTTCAATATGGAATAGATTCACGCTTCCTAGAATTCTCTTTGTTGTTCTTTTAGAAAGAAAATCAGGAAACAAACGCATCTTTGTGTTTGGAGTAAGACTAATCTTTACTGCTTGGGTTTTTTTCAAGATTTTGGCTTCCAATCCATTTTTTTCCCATGCCCCCATGTGAAGCATAAGCTTAAGACAAAGAATGAGTTTGATCTCTGATGACTTTTTCTGTGTCTTGTTAAAGTGAGTATGCAGCAGCTTGCTTGTCCGTACTAGGTGTGATAGTGTACTGACCAGAACTAACTTCATAGAGCTGAAAGTTTGGATTGTGATCTGGATAGGACACTAAATACAGAATATTGGGAACAGAACTCCACATATACTGTGGATATGGTGTCATAAACATGTGATGTCAAAAATCTGTGCCTCTTACTTGCTACCTACTTCTGCCTTCCCAAGCCTGTCCTTTCCTCTCCATCTAGCAATGCTGCTCGTAAGTAGGTTCAGCAGAGTCAAACTGCCTGCTGAGCAGCTGGTCTCAGAAGCTTCACTTTTCAGATTTTTGTTCCTTTGCATCCACCAGCAGTGAGACTTTGCATGCTGCACTGACCACTATTCCAGCTGATTTGTGGTAGCTTGTTAGGGCATGTGTGGCTTAAATGGGCTTGCCAGAAACCAGCTCCTGCTGACCACTTGTGCAGCCTTCCCAGCCTTATTCCCATGTTCCCTTTTCCCTTCTCTTACTGGAAGTGAAGAGGTTGAATTGCATGAGGGCTGTCTGAACAGCTGCAAATTTAGCCTTTGGTCTAACCCATAGATGTACTCTGAACAACATGCTCCTTTTTCATACAGTTCATGAGTTGCAGAAATCACTGTAGGAGACATCATATTTGGTGTTCAGCCTCTTTATTGTGTGGGTCTGACATCTAGCCATCACAATATGGTAAAATCCACTCTGTGTAGCCTAGGGTAGGAGATCAAAGAACATCATTTATGATTTTAAGTCTGAATACTTAGCTTCCTGGTATCACAGTTCCAAATCTCCTGGTGGAAGAAGTATGTTTGCCATCAAAGATTCCGTGCTCATTGGTGCTGTGCAAAGAGGTATTATTTTAGGACAGAATTTCTTTTCTTTTGCTTCTCAATGCCATTTCTCCATCTAAAGACATGGCTCCTGAGGGGGGGGGAGGAAGGGGGGGAAGCAATGAAGTAACACACACATCATCTGTCAGCTCTTCTGGGACCATTCAAGCAGAATACAATCATAGTATTTGACAGTTTGCTATACCTGTATATTTTTATAGCCTTATTTCAAGTTTAGAAAAGGAAAATTTTTCCATTTTTTTCTCAAAGATTCAGACTGACATCTTCTAGATTCCTAAACAGATTAACTACCAAACTCTTGTTGCTTTCTGAAATTCTCTCCTCACTAAGGACATCATCCTGAGCAAACTTATGTTCAATTCTTATTCTCCACTTTCAGCATTGTTCGTTTTTATTAGCTTGTGCTTAGCTCTGCAAACCAGATCCAGCTGCTACTGATAGCTTCACATGGAACTGGATAGAAAAAGCTCCAGAGAGCTCATGCTGTAACATTACGTCCAGCAGAGGTTTGGTACAAACTGGAACTGGCAGAAGTTTGAAGGATTTTGCCAGTCACTCACACTCACATCTTGTACAGACAAAAAAGAGGAAAAGGTGTGAAAAAAAAGCATAATGCCAAGGTGATCTGGGTGTTAACGTATCTAGGTGAGCTCCAGCTTCTTTTGTGCAGTCTTCTGTCAGGGGGGTACGAACAGCTGATCCCTGCAAGAGTGGTCAAGCAGCACAGAGATCAGATAGAAGCTGAGAATTCTGCCTGGTAGATTTCTGGATGAGTGAAACTTTCTTTTCTTCTTCTTCCCACCATCAAAGCGTGATTTAGCCTGGAAATACAATGACTTTGTGTTTAAGGTGTGCTGCTTACCTATAAGTAAGTTTTAGAGATGCAGAATACAGGGCCACTTCTGCAAGGGAGGGGGGGGGAAATGGTGACCTCAAAATTACCATAATTCAGGTCCAGGAAGACACACAAAGCACATTTAAAAGTATGTGAATAATGATGTGAATTAGTTATTTTAATGTCTTCCAAGTGTACTTCATTTTGAATGATATCCTCTGATAGCATACACATGGTAAGGTATAATTGAAAAAACATGCAGCTGAATGGTTGAATGCAAAGTATAAATATACAGCTGCTAGCAGGTCAGAAGTCAAACTAGTAAAGCATATGCCAAATTCCCTTAGGGATCTCATTAGTGTGTGATTGAATATACATGTAGAGGCTAAGTGAATATCACTGTTTGGGTCTATAGTGGATGAGACAATGACTAATCAATTGTAATTAGGGTTACATGCTATTATTGACCCACATGTCTAGAATTAAATGCCCCACTTGGAGATTTCCAAGGGGTTGAAAAATATATATGAATCTGTTTATGATATTATGAGTCTTTGAAAAAGTATTCTGAGCATAATTGCAACATTTTTTAAATGGAATGTCACTGGAGCTATTGGAAGCCAAAGCGCTGAAGAATTCACTGTTAGACCAAAGATCACCGTTGGTCCAAGAAAATGTCTGTTGGATATTGTGGAGCTGGGTGTATCTGAACTGAGATGCAAGCGTGTTTAGGCCCATGTTCGGCTCCTCCCTAAAATAGCAGCCACTTGCTTTCTCTCCTCCACCCTCAGTGCTACATTTTAATCATAACACATATTGAAATAATTATGGTTTAAAAAAGGAAAGCTGAAAGTGCTATTGATTAATCAGAGAAATTGTCTAACTGCTGGAAAGGAATTTTCATTTCTCTCTGGAATCCTCCTCGTTCTTCTCTCTCGGCTTTCTTTCCTCCAGCTTTCCCTTTCACCGTGTCAGCACCTTGCTGTTAGGGACAAGCATCATCAGACCCCAAAGTACCCAACAGCTTTGGCTCAATTAGGGACCCATAGGAAGCTGTGTGCAGGCTCAAGATCACAAGCTTCCAGCTCTCGTCCTGCAGAACGGAGGCATGCAGATAGGCATCCCCACTGCTGCACACTGCGGTGCTTCTCCCTCTTTGTTTTACTTCTGGGATTTGGGATTCTTTGTTGGGTTTTTCTGCTTTTGATAGTAGTACAAATGTTTTATGTTTGATGAATAACCTCCCCCACTCATTTTCCGACTTGTTTTTCTTCTAGTGCTCAAAGTATATATACATACTTGAACAGTCACCTGGATCTGATTAAGAAATCCTTGCCTGTGGGTTTCCTCACTGTTGATTTACATGTTTGGCCAGATTTCCATGGAAACAGATCTCCCTTAACAGATCTGACACTAAAGGGCATGGTAAGAAACAGCCTGTCTTTGCAAAAAGGTCAATACAGGGTAAAAAAAAAAAAACAACAAAAAACTTGGAAGGAGATTTAATTTTGAACATACTCCTCCTTAGCTATTTAAACTGTCCCATAGGATTTGGGTTTCTTGCTGCATTTTGAAGTGTGCTAAAGTTTCAGTAGAAAACCAGAGATCATTATAGTTCAGATATCATTACAACCACATTTATTTCCTAAAAATAAGGAGAGTGTACATCTCCCAGGAACCTTCCTAGAACTTACACTTCAGAACTCTGTTAGCAGTGCCCACAGTTGTCGTTAGCTCACCTGTCTGCCTAATTTTGCATCTCAGCACAAATTAGAGTATGTCTATGTGGGAAAGGAATGAAACAAATGCAGATAAATGTTTGGTAAATGAACTGTATTATAATTGTTGGGTGTTAAATCTCAACAGAAACTAAGGGCTCCTCTGCTTATTGTTAAAAATGGCCGTAGATGCTGTCGTGCATGGAAACATGCAGTCGTGGTGCTTCATAGGTCTTTGTTCAAAGCTGGATGTGGTCTGGTGCTTGCTTCTAGTTTTAAAAATGCTACTTTCGGAACGCACAGGGCTTGAAGTACTGTGTTCTGCACAAGGAAATTTTCAGAGCATTGCAGTGTGGAACCAGAAAGCAGCTTTTGGAAGCTCACCAGAGATGCTCTGCTGGGGACCTTTTTCAGCCCGTCTTTAAAGATTTGGATGATTATTTCCCTTCATGGTTGCTGACTGGATAGCTAGCAGGCCAGATGTAATTGTGCAGGGCTGGAAAGCTATCAGAAAGGTATCATTTGATGATATCAAAATACCTCATGAGTAAGACAAAAATTTACTTCAAAGTGGCATCGTGTTCTTGTAATGAATACCTCAAGCTACTCACCAGCACCAAAATCTGCTGTGCGTGAGGCTGAGGTAGGAAAGGGAGTTGTAAGCACCACCACACATTTTAAACCACAAACAGAGGAAGCATCAAAAAATAGGTTACTTATCTGCGGAGTTCCACTAATACCTATATGATTTTATGAAAGAATTCTACACTGCAGCAGATTCAGACTTTCCCTTGGTATGAGAGCTGTATGCAAACAGTGGTAATAGCAGTCATTTTCTCTGCTGGTGCTCACATCTGGCCTATGTTGAAATTAACCCAGAGTAACTACAGTGCGGTATTTATTTATTTCAGAGTAATGAAGGCGAAGGTGTAGTCTTTAATTATTAATTGTCTTTCAGTGTAATGGTACTTGGAAGTGAGAAGCTTTCAAAAACTTGTTTTTATGTGATAGCATTTTCATATTATTACCTAAAATACATTCACAGGCAATGTCTGAGTCATAGCATAAAACTGTCAGAGTTAATCTATCTCTAATCTCACAGTATATGCTGCTTGTTCTTTATTTCTTTGCAAGAATAATAACAATTTATGTGGTTCTTCCCTAGATCAAGAATAACATGTTTGACATAACGTTATGTGTACAGCTCACAAAATAAAGGCTTAGAATTATCGCTTAAACTTGTTACAACAAGAAACCATAGAGTTTTACTTTGGCTGGATTTGTATGCTTTCTCTTTGATCTTTGCACAGGTTGTCGGACTGACGCTGTCTCGGGGTCTGGATGAACTTGCCCTTATCTACTTGGCCACGATTCAAGCAATTGCTGTAAGCCATTTTAAGTGCATAAAAGAACAAATGAATTGTCTTGTGTTCTGTGGCAGACTGATCATTCCCCTCCACTAAACAGATTGCTAGTAATAGATGAATTCACTTAATGGACTTCTTAAAGAAGCAAGATACTGTTTACCACGTTGCTGACTACTCCCCGCTGTAGGAAATGGTGTGAAGAATATGTTCCCTAGGAAGATTTCCCCTTATGACAATTCAGAGCCTTTGTTTCTGGTGCATATGTGAGAAAGAGGCCGATGCTATGAGAGGCAGTGTTGGCATCGTGGGCTGTCTAGAGCGAAACCGAGATAGTGGAGGAAAAAAAGCACTGACTTCCTTTTAGGAAGGAACTTGCTCTCCCCAAATTTACCTCAGCTTCAGACTGTTCCTAAATGCACAGATTTCCCCTCGTTGTGTGATGGGAGAGTCAGAACCACATTGCTGAAGTCTGAGTGGGTCTGTATCTCTACGTACTGAATGAACCACAGCTCGTTCCTCTCATGGTCTCCCCGTTGGAAGGCAAGCAGTTGTCTTACATATGACAATTGCAATCTGAGGCTGTGTTTCTGTAAAAGCAGAGAGACCACCTTTGTGAAAATGGCACAGAAGTTTGCTAGCATGCATAGATGGGATATGTGATAGGAATACTTCTGTTTCTGCCCTCATTTTCTCAGATGAGAGACTTTCCAGAAACCAGGATTTCCAGTTCATGAGAAGTTCTATTTTGACACGAGAACCTGGGTCAAAGGAGTTGTTTTGAAACACTGGCACAGGGTATCTGCGATGGGGCATGCTATCCCCAGGCGTTCAGTGACTGCAGCTGACATTCCTTTGACATCCTCTTTGTAATTCTAAAAAAAAACAGAACTTGTTGAACTTGCAAAACATTAACATGTTGATGAATTGGGGAGTTTTCCTGACAAACCTCTATTTGGCTGGAAAACTTCCAAACTCCTCTACTGGTTAAACAGCAACTTTGCTAGGTTGGGTCAGCCATCTGGGATACAGGGTGGGCGGCTGCTGTAAATTCACTGTGAGCTGTACATGTCGTGTGTTAACCCTCCATCTTCAGCAAATAACTTGGGTCTGGAATGGATGGCTGTCAGTTCTGATCTTTTTTAGGATGTATGTAGCTGGGTTCTACCTGATGTTTCAGTCTAATCCCACAGTTTGAATGAGAATATGTAGGAGAGTTTAATCAATGCCAGCTACTGATACAACCCTGAAAGAAACTGAAAACTTCCCAGTATCGAACAGGTGCTCAGGTATTGTGCTGTGCTAATGAGGTGGAAACCTTCTCAGCTGGAAATCCTGGGAAAGTCACCTATTATCTCATTGTACAATGCAACTCACGTTTTATTGGAAAACACACATACTGAGTTCAGCTCTGCATTCAGCATTTGTGATCGTTAATTGCCTCGATCGTGTGATTTAATATCAAAAGGTCATACAATGCTTTTCATTGTAAGTTAACAGAAATTAATTTTTTGGTAAACACTATTCAGGTAGTAGCTGGAAAGCAGACAGCAGCGGCCTTGGGTTTGGTGTGATGTATTTACCAACTGCTGGTGCTGTACCTGGAAATTTTACATTTCCTCCCGTGCTCTGCCACTCCCAGGTTAGCTTTGCTTTGCAGAAGCACAGCCCCAGTCCTATACCATTAACCACTGAAGCAAGACAGCCTTAAAGCTAAGTAAAAGTCCTGTACAAAGTGTAGGCCTGCCTGCAGAATGTTAATCTCTGGTTTTCTTTTCAGCAGGAGACGCTTTTTTCTTTTCATATAAAATTTGCATTTCAAGCCCCTCCATTTGCATTTTCTCCAATCCAGGATTAAATTAGTTCCCCCCCCCCCCGACCCACAGTGAAATAAGTCAGGCTTTAATTTAAATTGCTCTGTGAATACAATTTTCCAGGCAGGTAAACACAAAATAATTTTCACAGCGTGTCCTTTCTCAGGATCTTTGGCATGTGCACGTTGTGAGACAAGTTGTTCGTACATTGGAATTTCAGAAGTGGTGAAAGAGAAAATCCTTCTGACCATTCACTGCAAAACGCGATGCGCCAGTTGGGCCTGTGAGAACAGAGATCCAGCCGTGGCCATCGAGCCCGGCCAGAGGAGACAGACTTTCTCAAGTAGCTTTTTGGGTTTTTTTCCATAAATAATTTGGAAATGAGCTCTCTGTGTCAATAGGGAAGTGATGGATTTAGTCAGCTGCGTTGCGGCTGCTGAAGTTCCTCGTAACCGCTTGCCTTAATACTCAAAAATACATTTGAAGATCTGTCCAGGATTGTGCCAGTCACAGCACATGGCTCAATCTGCAGAAAATCTGCTAGTTTCTGTTTTAGTGGAGTTTATTTGCAGAGGGCTTTATTGCAGGCAGCAGACCTCTTAGTGAACCCGCAGCAAAGCATAAAGAAAACATAAATAACGGTTTGTCAGAACTGGACCAGATTGTGTTTGGTGGGGAGTTTGCCTAAGAACGGTCAGCTTGGGTTGAAGTTTTGACTTGGATTTGGTATTTTGTCAAGTTTGTACTTCAGAATTAACTTCCAGGGTATTATAATGAGCTGGGAATTCAGGGGGACAGACGGTCAGTGAAACTGGAGGAGAAAACAGAGAGGGTTGGCTTCAATGGCAAGCAGGAGCAGCACAAAGAGGGAAGATTTTTTATTGGCAACCTGTTTGCTTTTGTCATTTACAGAACAGAACACTGACCTGTTCTAATACGAGCTTCTGAGAATAAAGACTTTGAAATGAAAAGTTTAAAAATATACCCACATTTTAGACATGTTTCAATTAATCCAGGCATGAAATGGAACATTTTATTTTGTGCAGGGCAAAGGCCAAGAAAAATAGTTAAGCCAATAGAAAATTCCTTAGGTTTTCTTTTTTGCTGAAAAGACAGAAAGTACAGGTTTATCATTTGCTCCTTTTTTGTTTTATTTTGTTCTGTTTTGCCAGAAATCTCAATACTGAGAGTGATACTGAGATGTATCTGTACAAAGAAAACAAGCAAACAGGAGTTTTTGATGGGAGTGTCTTTGACATATAAGGGCTATGGAAACCTTTTCTGTGTCGTGCTGCTCATGGTCACAAACAGCTGCTTATCACTGTTATCACTGCCATCAGTTTAGCTGGTGCCCATTTCTGTCTTCCAATAATTGCAGTCTTCACCCTTGTAAGTACTTCCCTGCAAGGCCCTTTTTCCCAGCACTGTAGAGTGGAAGTTACCTTTTCCTGTTTTCAGCCAGTCCAAGGATGCTCACTGCAATGTACTGTGCCTTTGTACTTCCGAATTCTCTGTGCAGTCTGCGTGATTTTTCTTGTCCTTAATCACAGTACCATTTACTCTTTCAAACTAAGCCAAGTCTGTACCCTTCTGGTTTACTCCCAGCCCTCGGGTTACTGCTAGGGGCAGGTAGTGTCTCTACATTTCTGTCACACTTTGTAGCACGTTGTTCTTCTGTTCCTGTGGCTTCTCTCTTGTGCTCATCTGTTGAGTTTTTGTTTTTTCTTTTCTTTTTCCCTTTTTCAAGTTAGGAACAAGACATATTTTGGAAGCTATGGAGGCTGCAGGCCATCATATCAACACCCTGTTCCTGTGTGGTGGGCTGAGCAAGAACCCTCTCTTTGTGCAGATGCATGCTGACATTACTGGTAAGCGAGAGGAAGTTTGGGTAAAGGAGTGTCAACTGCTTTATTATTGTAGGTGGCCAAGTGCCTCGTCTCTGGAAAAATAAATACTTCCTTTACATAGAACTGAATTTTGTTGGTTGGACAAAAATATTGGAATGAAATGTAGCTTCCTGCAAGACTGGATTTCCTGAAATTTAAAGGCATTAGAATAATACTGAGATGTGGTGCAAATAAAGCTCCATAATTTGTATTGTTAGAAAATGGACTTTTGGAGGATCTTCCAACTTATTTCTAGTTTGTGGATCTTAGCCTAAGATCCACAACTTCCTAAGAAAGTGCAGTAGAATTAATATAAAAGCTGTGTGGAATTTTTAAAACCAGTAGGTGTAAGTTATGTCTGTGATGTTCCTCACTACCAGATTTATAAAAAGTATTCTAGGCATGGTATAAGAATTCTTCCACTTAATCAGATTACAAGAAGTTAATTTGATGAGGATAATGTGTGGTACGTTTGATGAGTTTGTTACTACATCAGATGTGTTTCATTTCTAGTGAAATCTCTGTCAGGTTCATCCTATTTCAATTTCTGATCATGCTGGACACACAATGCATTGTAGAGAACAAATCCATTCTAAATTACCTTTCATACATTTTAGAGGGCAATTTCTGCATCCCTGCTCCTGCATGATGTTGCATTTAGTTTTGTACAACTACTGATAGATAGATGGAAGGTGCTGGGTTTGTGGCTTCAGTGCTTCTGATCTCTGTTAGCCTGTGTGCACTGCTGTCTTGGCACACTTTTGAGTCAGTTGAATATACTTTTAATAACAGGGAAAAAAATAACAAAATTTACTTTAAAAGACTTCAGAATAACTTTGAGCAGTATGTGTTTAGAGTGTATATCATGTGAAGACTGAGCTGTCATGAGCACAGTGATGCTCAGATTTGGGATACTTGGTTGGGAGATCTGACTTGCTCTAACATCAAACCACATTTCATAACCTTGATGCAGAAGGGAAGACGAAAATATTCTTTTTTGTAGTGAGTTGAGAACAGAAATGGAGAAGTAAATTATAATGCCTGTTGGCCTTACAATTCACTGAACGTGTTGAGGTCGAAGGGGCACTTTGTTTGTGAAGAATGTTGAGAGGTGCATATCTTTCCATGCGTGACTCAAATGTTTTAGGTGAATTTCAGCATGCAAAGTTTGGGAGGCTGATTCCTGCTGTGTAAAACAAAGGATCTGTGAAAACGTATTCCGATTAAAATGTAATCAGGAGTTCTTTGACTGTAACTAATGGCCAAGTACAATTCAGTACAAAAAGGCCCTTTTGCAGTCTGGAGTTCTCCCCCATTTGTAAAATCTGTGACTGACAAGAGATGTCAGAGTTCATCTAAGTGAAATGCTCCCGGTTGTGTTGAACTCATTTGAGCCTATCAGATAAAATAACTAACATTCCAGGATCAATCCCCCATTCTTTCACGAGAGGAAAAAAATCTGAATATATTATTGTTAGCTGCAAATGCCCGTGACTCAGCCATGCAGACATCCAGTAGATAACTTTACAGGCCACTTAAAAAGTATCTTGATCTTTTTGTTTGCTTGGTAAGAATTCTGCATTCATTCTGATGGTGCAGGAAATGTGCAGTAAATTTCAGAGTGTGCTGAAAGTTGCTTTCTGCTTCAGCGCCCGGCGAGCAGCCGCGTGGCTGTGAGTGTAGTGTTAGGCTGTCTGTGTCTGATCCCAGCCAGCCCAAGTCCCGAGCTGTGCTCCATCTTAGCAGGAGGAGTGCTCACGAGTCTGATTTTGCACTCTTGTTTTCACGGTGGATGTGTTTATTGTAATTCAGACAAACACACGAGGTGCTGTGGTCGCATTGGCTCACGCCTACTAGCCCTTCCAGCAGTCCAGCAACAAGCCTGTGCTGTACCTGTTTTCTTTCTGCACCACACTGCCTGTGCTAACTATAAGAAAAAATGGCCTGAAGAGTGCTGTGGCACTGGAAAATGATCGTAGGCAGCTTTAAACTGAGAGAACAGAGCAAAACCAGCATGTTGGCAGATGCTGGGGTGCAAGGTGAGCTTGCTTTGCATTGATAGTTGGTTTTTATATTAATAATTTTCTGTCCCATTTTAAAAGCATGTATTTGGCTTTTCCTCTGTAGGAGTTGTTCAGAGCTTTCTTTACATCTCCCATTTCAGCTCCTTCTGATCTCGCAGTTGGCTTGCAGGAGCATCATATCATTGAGGCTATTTGGAAAAGGAAGTCCTCCTCCCACCTCCATGTTTGCATCATCATGCATCCAATGAAATTATCTCAGTAATGGAAATTTACACACGTGCCAAATACTGTAGGAATATACAAATCTTTGCTTTAGTGGGATGAGCATCCAGAGTGCAGCTAGAGGAGTTGTTGCACAGTTTAGGCATCTCTAAGAATTCAGAAAGCAGGCCGTTTTTAGTGGTTCATTGCTCTTTTTCCTTCTGATTTTACACTCATAGTACAGGTCTCTGAAAAATTTGTGTGAACTGAGGAAAAGTATGATGGCACCCATGGGTGATGAAACTGGTTTTTTTACTTCTTTTGCAAAATATGCAAAGTTTTTCATTGTATTTTATTTTATTTTTCTAAGGTTTTAATTTTCTTTTTCAACTATATTGCATTGGAAGATAAGATTTCTCTTTATTATTTCATTCACAGCTTGTGAAAGGTCACTATTTATATTTTTCTGCCTTCCAGCAAAAACAGACTGGCTTTGTTGGCATATATTTAAAAACAAACACAAACAGCCTTCTTGTTTTTTTGCTGTTCATTACAAAAGAAACAGAAAGGTTACCACTCTATTCCCCTCAAGGTCAACTTTCAGTTTTCAGGTTGGTTTGAAGGGTGTGGGTAGCAGATTACAGCCAAGTGCTTTGAGCTGAATAACCACTGTTCTTCATTTGCTTTAAGTTCTGCATTAATATTATGTTGAAATTGTTTTATTTACATTCTGTTGGGTTTTTTTGTTTGTTTTTTGTTTTTTGGGGGGGTCCTGGAACCACGCAGCACAGATTAACCTTTATCTGCAGTGGGTTGTACTGTATAAATGGAGTCGTGAACATGGATTTTCAAGTCCTTTTTCATTCCTCCTTTCTTTTCCTTTTTTACCTTTAATTATTTATTGTGCAGCTACTGCTGCATTGCTTTATTCTTCCTAACAGATGTGTGACTTCTTCCTGTATAGGCAAGCCTGTTGTCCTGTCCAAAGAAGTGGAGTCTGTTCTTGTGGGTGCCGCTATTCTTGGAGCTTGTGCTTCTGGGGATTTTGCATCCATACAGGTATGCAGTACCTGATTTTTTATTTTCAATTATGTCTTTTTGAATTATATTTTATGTTTGGAAATTTGGCCTTATGCACAGGCTTTGATTCAAGTGGAAAAGTTTGCAGAGCCAGGAGGGAGCCAGCGTCGCTTTCTGTCCACCCTCATTCTTTAACACTGTTACTTATGAGCACAGAAGATTCACTAATGTTTGGCTGTGGTGACATGCAGTATAAGCTGTTCTCTGTAAGTTAGGCCATGTAATCTTACAGACAGAAGAGGGCATTTGTCAAGGTCCTCTCCTGCAAGAAGGTCACACTTTCATCTCAGCTCCGAGTTCCACTTCACGTTGAGGAGCATTAAATGTCAGAAATACCATGGCACTTACAGAGTTAAAAAGAACAAAAAACACACCTACACCTCTTGTTTTGCTCACAGTGAATTCAGAGTTAATAACGAGAGTGGAACTTCATGTTTATTTGTGTTATTTCAGTCCCTTAATGGTTGTAGAAGTGGCAGTAATGCTTTTATGTTCAGTGGATCAGCCAAAGCATGACTTAACTGTGTTTATATAAGTGACAGTAAGACACAGAAACCTGTAGAACCATCTGTGTTCTCAGAATCAGCTGTTTTCCCACCTGTCCTTGTGCTACCATAAGGCACTTCCTCTCCTAGCAGAAAGCACAGCTTCCTTTCATCAGAATTCTTCCATTAAAGTTAATCCCCTTGGAACAAATATATTGTACAATATGCATTTCTTCTTAAAAATTCCAATGCTTCTAAGGAAATCTTGATTGTTTTGATGAACGTAATTTCAGCAGCAGCTTTTGGTGATAGGAACTCATATTTAATTCCTGCCTTTCTGTTATCTGTTTCATTTACAGCAGCATTTCGTTTCTAGTTTAAGATACCTTACACTACTATGCAATCAGTGACCATCTCAAAACTCTTTAAATTAAGTAAGTCTGTCTTCATAAAAATATGGTCCCTTCCCATCTTTTCCTGAATCAAAGAAAGTAATACCAGAATATAAAGAAAAAAAAGAAAACAAATCCCATTTCATTCCAGTGCCTCTGGCTGCTTTCTCCATTTGTGTCGGGTCTGATTGCAAGGCTCTTGCTGGCCTGCAGGGCAATGCCTTTTTTTCACTGAGTTGCAGGTCAGCCCCAGGCACTTCCTTGGGATCCCCCCGGAACAGAAAAGGGGAAAAAAGTTTGGAAACAACTGTTGTTGTTCATCTCACTGGACTTTTATGACATGTTTCTTTCCACCCCACTGCCAGTGGTGTTTGCTGGGAGCCAGGTGAGGCCCCATCCGAGACACCAAACCTGCGGTGGGAAGAAGCCACTCTGTGTTCTGACTTCGTGTCTGTTCAGAAGATTGTAGTTAAAGAGGTGACACCAATGGCAATATCAGCTGTATCGTGCAGCAAACGTTTTCAATTATGTTGAAATATTTTCCAAAGAATTCAGGTACTTGAGATCAGGAACAGTATAAAATATGGAAATGTTTTTTTAGGTGTAAATGGGTATCTAGCATTGCAGTTCAATAGCCTCTTGTTTTTCTAACACTTTTTGCAAAGCAAAACCTTTCGTAGAGGTGCTGCTGCAAACATTCAATGTCATTGTAGTTTCTGCAAATAGCAGAAGTTATCTGTCTTCTGAAAGGTGCTTCCTACTTAGTTATTGAGTTTTCTAAAACTGTTTGTTTGCTCAGTCTAACAGTAAAGCAGAAAAAAATACAAATAAAACCACCAAACAACCAACCCTGTGTGTTTTTTTTTAGCAGTAGCCTCTTTCTTTATGACTATGTTTGTTTGAAGGGGAATTTTTGCTGTATTTGTCCCAGTGATTTTGGTCACATTTCTCAGAATGATTTTTGGACATGTCAAAATCAAAATGCTTAAAGGCAATCTGGTTTTCCTGGCTTTGCTGTTCTCTCTTCTCTAAAATAGGAAAAAATAGGATAGCTTGGAAATAGGACCCAAAACCAAGGTCTCTCAAAATACCTCTGGTAATCTTAGTCTGGATTTCATAAGGTCTGCTGACCACAGAGCAGGCAGGTAAAGCACACCAGTGCCAACCATTAGTAGTAGTGCTGCTCAGAGGGATGCTTCAGGGAGCTGGTGAGCCTGTGGAGCAGGGCTGAGCTCAGGATGTGTCTGCACACTGAAGCTGCAGCTTTGGGATTGCAGTGTGCATCAGGTGTTAGAGCTGCCCTGCTCATGCGTTCTGTTGCTGTTGGTTTTTGGGGGGCCCAGGGCACCAAGACAGAGCCAGTGCTCTGACCATCTGCTGTTTGCTCAGGAAATTTGGTACACAGGAGGGTGTGTGGTAAGGAGAAACGGTATAGAGTAAGAAACATATGGTAACCGTGTACTGTAATTAGTGTTGGTTAGACTTTAGATTAATGGTTGGGAAATGGATTGGCATTGCCCGTTGTTTGCTTAGGGGTAAAGTAGGTGGTTGTGGTGGTTGCTGTTACTGCCATAGTCCTGTACTGTCTTGATCCTTAGTCCTGTTACATTCCATCACTGGGATTTGGAAATGGGGAAGTTGCTGCAGAGAAACTGGGGGATTATTGCTCCAGGAACAGGGAGTGATTTACCTACAGTTGTTGCATAGTGAACCCAATCAGCACGTTTGTGAAGCAATTGGATTCTCACACTTCCTCTTCTTGGGCAACTGATTATAATGGCTGGAACACAAATATGCTTTTCCCTAAATGAGTTTCTTCTCAGAAGGAAGCAAGTCTCAGTGCACCTCCCGACTCCTTCCCTTTTCTGTAATACAGCAGTGGCCATTTACAGGACGTGGTATTTCCTTATAATCCTTATTTCTTTTATCTTCTTGAGTGATTTGGACAGAAAAGACTTTCATGCTTTTTGTTCACCGCATCTCTATTTGTCACAGAATTCTCAGTATGCTGAGCCTTCACAGGAGGAAAAAAAAACAAACACAACAGATTGGGAATGAAAGTTACTGTAAAATTTGTAGCCGTTGAGGTTAATTTGCTGGATGTGTGTGGTTTTAGGAGCTCGAGCCCCTTGGAGCTGCAATTTCATCTTTAGGTAATTCTATCAAGGAGAGATTTATAACCTCCATCTCTCATGCCTGGCCACCATATGTCGTTCCTTCAAAGAATGTTGACTTCTCTGTTTTCCTCTTCATTTATTCTCTCTGCATTTTTCTCCTCTGTGGTAAAAGAGAATTAAAACAATTGGTTTATCCAAAAAGGACAAAAACCACACGCGGTGTGGTGAGAGTTACTTCCCAATTCATCTTTTGGTTATTTAGTCTCCAAAGTCTCCGGAAAAGGAGAAAATCTGAATTTCTTCGTGCTATTTGGTTTATCTTTTCATTTTCCCCTGCTACAGCTTTTTCCTTTTGGAGGTTTTATAATACCTTGATTATTGTTCCTGTGAACTGGAGCACAGCCTGCCCGGGTCAGCGCTGACACAGAAGATAGTGCTGTGTAAAAATCATATGACATAAGGATTTATGAAACATATACTATAGTTGGGGGGATTTTTGAAACACGTGCCTCATTCAGTGAAATAACCTTACTGCTTCTGGCTTAGATGGGTCCATTTATTGGTTCTCGCCATTCCTTCCATGTGCAGCAGCAGGATCCTGGTTTTTTTTCTATGTGATTGTTTCTGTAGTAAAAATATAGTTTCCGGTATAGCAAGCCAGCAATTCCTTCTCAGTAAAAATGTTCAATAAATAAATGTCAAAGTTTCCACTATATCCTCATTAATCTGCTTCACTTGCATGTAATTGAAAATGGGAAGAAGGTGCTGTTTGATTTGGCAATCATCCAGCTCTTTTCTTTCCTTTTTTTTGGATACCCGACTCTTTGGGACAAAGCTGTACACCAGGGAACAGGGTTATTGCCTTATAAAATTCTGCACTCCACTGACTATTCCTTAATTGCATATTAAAGCAATTAATAAAATTGCTAGTATGAAACTAAACTGCCAAATTTATTTTGGAGCTGGTATCTAATGTTGGTCGTTCTTACTGGTTAATATGGAAGAGAAGAACTTCATCTGGTTTGATAAAATACGTTTCACTGGTAACTTTCTGCATTCATTTTTGGTGTAAAACGTTGAGCTAGAAGTTGGTTCTTTCTAGTGCAATATAGTTAGTCCACAGCTCTGGTAATGGACCAACTGGCAATAGTGAATTGACAGCATTTCTTAAGAAGACACATAAGTAGTAATTGGACCTGCTCAACTTTTTGCTGACAGAAGGAGCAAGATGGGGCTGTTTTCACTTCTGGATCAGGCTGTCTCTGCAATTTCGTGTAGCTCAACTTATGTCAGTGGACATGGTTCAGTTGATGATCTGATCCTCTATTCCTCTTCCAAAGTATTACCTGTCAGGTCATGGATTGAAATTAATACAGGTGTTCTAGTTGATTTCCATATTTTCAAAAGGAAGAACCAAGTGAAAGATCAGGGAGAGGACAGCTTTTTTTTCCTTAGAAATGGTAATAACTTGGGAAATCAAAAGAGGAAATAAGATGACTTCTCCCTGTTGAATTAGGTAATATTGCCTTCCTTCATTTCATTAAAAATGTAAAGTGCTCTTGTTTTTGAGCAGGGTAAATTAGTAATTAAGTGCTATAATCAACTTGTGTAAACATAATAATGAAGGAGAGCAGCAAATTAATCATTTCGTTGGCTTGCCTTACCCAATTAATGCACCTTTTGCTAAGGGCCTTCATGTTACATTGGGATGTTTTTCTCCTTTTTCTTAATCTGGATATTTTGGAAAGTCAGAAGAAGGAGGTGGTTGTTCTTAGATGCCATGCTGTGTGCAGATTGCGTGTTCAGGTGCTGTGAGCTTGCCTTCCTTTTCTTTAGAAGCTCCAAGTTTGTTCGTCTGCGCTTTGAATCCATGCTTCAGTGGAGGCCATTCATGGGCAAGGCTGGGCGTTGGCTTTTGCTTTTCTTTGTAGTATATTGGCTGGGCATGGCACAGCCACGTCTTTATGTCAGTGATTCTTTTAAAT